GTACCTCAATTGACTTCAACCTCCTCGCCAAAGCCCAACAAGAAGATCCAGAGATACATTCCTTGCACACTACGTCATCTCTTTGTCTCAAAGATGTCCCATTACCATTTTCCTCTGGTAAAATACTCTGCGACACTTCCACAATTACACCAAGACCAGACATTCCACCATCTTTCCGCCGAATTGTCTTCGACAGCCTCCATTCTCTGTCTCATCTAGGTATTCATGCTACTCAACACCTGATTACAGAACGTTTTGTCTGGCCCGGCATCAACAAGGACATTCGTGAGTGGACCCGTTCCTGTCAAAAGTGCCAACAAGCAAAAATTCATCACCACACCACCTCTCCACTTGGAACTTTTCTCACACCTGATGCACGCTTTGACCACCTCCACATCGACATCGTTGGCCCACTTCCACCGTCAATATTTTTCCTTTGGTGTTCAATCTACCATCACAACGGACCGTGGTGCCCAATTCGAATCTTCACTCTTCACCCAACTCACAGCGCTCCTGAGAATCCAACGCATTCGCAACACGGCCTACCATCCCGGTGCAAACGGCATGATCGAACGTTTCCATCGCCAGCTCAAATCTTCCATCAAAGCCTATTCTGGCTCGTCCCGATGGACAAAAATCCTCCCACTCGTTCTACTCAGCATCTGCAATACAGTAAAAGCAGACATCGCTTGCACCCCATCGCAACTCATTTTTGGCACATCTCTCCGTTTACCAGGACAGTTTATCACTCCAGACACCTCCTCGCCCGCCCTTGACTCAACAAGCTATGTCGATCGTCTTCAATCCGCCATGCAATCACTCAAATCAACCTCAACACGTCCTCAAATCACCAAGTCGTACCTTTCTCAAGCTCTACATAACTGCACCCATGTCTTCGTCCGTACCGATGCTGTCCGCAAACCACTCAAGCCTCCTTACACTGGACCATTCAAAATCCTGCGTCGTTACACAAAACACTTCACCATTCTCATGCATGGAAAAGAACAAACTATCAGCATCGACCGTCTCAAACCAGCATACCTCGACACACATATACTTCCTTCACCTGCAGTTCCAACAGCACCAACACCTTCATCCGCTCAACCTTCTACTACTTCTACATTACCACCAAGCCGAACAACCCGCTCCGGGAGAAGAGTTCATTTTCCGGATGTACTCGAATATTAACTTGCTTGCTTGAACAATCTAATATTTGTTATATTCATTTATTTTATACTCGTATCGAATGCTTCTCCTCGCTTGCATTCTAGGGGGGAGCTATGTAGCGACCATTGTTAAACGTATTCATGTTTCCCATTGTAATCTTGTCATTCACACCTTCCATTGTCTACGTATCCATAGTTACGTTGTCAACAACACCCTTGTCGCGTCCACTCGTTTTATGTTTATACACCTAGTTTTGTAAAAAGTTAGTTTTCATTTCGCTGGAGAAAAGACGTAACAGAAAAACCAAGTTGATTTGTTTTCTTCGAGTCGATGGCCTAAGGAACGGTAAACAAAGATTGGTGAGATCGTTCATTTACAATCCTCTTTATTAATACGTAGTTCGAATTTCATGCACAGCCACAATACGATTTATTAAATATGTGTTCGGGTTTTCACGTAAATTTTCATTGCGTAGTCGATTAAGGTTTGGTTTAGTGTAATTAAGCCTTAAAATGTATCTTGTGACTTGGTGACGCAGCTTTTCTGTTTACCATATTTTCTAATTGCTTCGATTATAATTTTCGTTTGAGCCAACTGACGTAAATTGAATAGAGCATCGTCATTGGTAGTTTATTTTGGATTAATTAGTTTACAGTATATATATAGAACGTTGGGGTTTTGTTAGTGCGTGCGTGCAACTGGGGGTGGTTGTGCGAACCCAGCTGTGATTTGCTGAATAATATGACATGTGAAAAGCTCAAATGACTTTTTCTTCAGTGTTTTCTCTGGAATACAAAGTTTAAAAAGAATCAGCAAGATAGATCCTGAGAGGTCTAAAAATCTGGTCCACCGAACCTAGATGCATTTGTGTTCCAGTGAATGAACTATGGATGAACTGAAGAAGAAGAGAAACATCAGAGGAGGACATAGAGCTTTTGCAACGCAGTTGATCAGACAGATTGAAGATAGTCTGGAAGATCAATTGAAGTTGAAGCAGCTTGAGATACAGCTAGATGAGAAATTTGAAGTCTTAGGAAAATTGGATGACGAAATTTTGGATCTTGTAAGCGAAATTGATGAAGATGGTTTGGGATGCTTACAAGAAATTTCTGAGGCTGGAGAGATGAAGGAAAAAATAAATCTAGCGCTGCTCAAGTTGAAGAGTTTAGTGAAGAATGAGAAGCAGTTGGAATCGCGGAAGCCTAATTTAACAAGACATGGCTCAGAAGAATCAGTTTATTCTGTAGAAAGTTCAGCGTCGTCAGCAACTCGTAAAGTTCGTGCGAAGCTACCGAAGTTGGAACTGAAAAAATTTAGTGGCCGCCCCCAAGATTGGCAGGAGTTCTGGGATAGTTATAAAAGTGCGGTTTACGAAAACGAAGAGATTTCAAAGATTGACAAGTTTTCGTATTTGAAGCACTATTTGGAAGAGCCTGCCAAAAAAGTAATTGCTGGACTTGCTTTAACTGAAAAAAATTATGACGTAGCTGTCGATTTGCTTGAACAGAGATTTGCGCGACCAACGACGATAAAAAGGGCACATATCAACGAGCTTCTGAATTTAGATGCGGTTTTTAATGAAAAACATGTTAAGAAGATGCGAGAACTTTATGATACTATTGAGACACACCATCGTGGATTGAAAGCCCTAGAGGTCGACGAAATATCATACTCGAACATAGTTGTACCTGTTTTAATGGACAAGGTTCCAGAGGCTGTTCGCCTGAACATGATTCGAGGAAGTAAGAATCACCAAGAATGGGATATGGAAGAAATGCTTGTGGCTTTTCGAGAAGAATTGGAGATTCGTGAACAGCATGTTTCGATTTCAATGGCTTTGGGAAATGGGACCGTTTCTGGTAGGACGTCATCAGAACGGCGAAGTGAGATGAAACCGAGGTTTCCTGGTCGAACAACAACAGCGAGTGCGTTGTTCACGAAACAAGATGGTGGATTTGTGAGAAGAAAGTTCTGCGTATTTTGTAAAGAAGATCACGAAGAAGCCGATTGTCACAACGTCAGGAACAAGGAAGAAAGGAAGGATCTTGTTTTTAAATATGGACGTTGTCTTTTGTGTTTAAAAAAGGGACACAGAGCTTATCAGTGTCATTCGAAGGAAAAATGTAAGTTGTGTAACAAACGACACCATGTTGCAATTTGTAATGTTGTTGGTAGTCAGCCTAGTGCTAACCAAGCTCGTGTCAAGACTGCTGATACTACTGTTACCACTTCTTGTGTAAGTAATATAGATTCTGGGGGGAGAGCAGTCTTGCAAACCGCCAAGGCCGTAGTTACAGGTAACATAAGGGATGTTAAGGCACGTGTTCTTTTTGACTCAGGTAGTCAGAGGAGTTTTGTAACACGAAGTATGGTAGAAAAACTTGGTTTGAACCCCATTAAGCAAGTGCGCTTAGGTATAAAGACATTTGGATCTCAAAATATGGACGAGAAGATAGGAGATGTGGTCGAGTTAGAGTTGAAAGGAGTTGAAAGTGGAGGGAAAGTGAAAATACAGGCCTTTGTTGTTAATGAAGTTTCAGAAATACGCAATGAACATGTTGAAATATTGAAGTATGATTATAAGCATCTTACTAACTTGTGGTTTTCAGATGTTTG